TCATAATGCTTTCACATCTACTGTTGAAAAAATTTAGTACAGCTTTCAAGCTCCTAAATATTAGAAAATCCCTGTGTTTGATATTCCTCATGTACAAACTTGATGCCACATTATTCACCTGCTCCCTCTAATGCAGGTTTTGTAGTAGAAAAGCAGGTACAAATGGTGATACAGAGCTGAGAACAAGTGAAGCATCTTCACATGTAGAGGGCCATGTAGGAGGGGCACAGTGACAGCCTCAGAGTTGTTCAGGAGCTGTTCCCAGTGGGGTGGGAAGAAGCTTCCCCTTCGTATGAAACAGCATGTAGCTGTGCTTAGTCACCTTCTGGGGCCACCTGGTGCTGCACAGGATTTGGACACATGTACTGTGTTCAGCAGTTATCACATGGACATGTGTGGCAGCAGCAGTGAAGAAAACGTCCTCTAACCCCTTTTGAAGGCTTGAAGGAGGGAGTGCCCTTAGCCTTTACCACATCTGTAAACAACATCTGTGTCAATAGCTTTCACAGCCCCCAAGAGAGACACAAGAATGGTTCAGTGGTCATAAACTGCCTGAAACATTGAATGTCTAGACTTGACTGTTGAGGAAATATCTTTAGGCCTTCCTTTTATTCCCTCTTATGTGCCTCCAGTTGGTATCCTTCAAAGGATGTTAAACTAAATACAGCAAATATCTAATGATGTCGTATGGTCATTTTGCTGACACAGCACCAGGCACTTCAGATATCTGTACACAGTATCTGTACACATTGTCTCATGTGTAATCTTTCTGGGGTTACATCTCTGTTCTTTCTTACACTCTTTAGAGCCGTTAGTCTTGGACAGATACCACACACCTGTATATTAAAAGCAACACAGAATTATATAAATGGGTCACAGCATGGTCCCTAACACCAGAGAATGAATCATTCAGTTACAGGATAGAGATGCCATCAGGTTAAAAATAGGAAGGAAAGTGCAAAAAAAGCTGTTTATCTACCACACAAGCAAAAGGCAATAAACCTACAGTAATAGCTGTAAGCAGTAGGACTTGCCTGTCCACTTGAATATTATCTTTGTAGTATTTAATAGTATACAGGGCTTTGAAAGGATGGTGTGTAAGTGCCTGTTACTGGTATTCAGGACTGTTTCATGAGGACAAGTAAAAGGAGAAGACAAAAATGTAATTTTGTTTTGCTGGTTAAGAATCCAAATAATCTGCAAGGTGTCACCTCTGAGATTATCACTTGTGTTCTGCCAAGAAGGAATGAATTAACATAGTGTACATCTTTCACTATTGCACATTTACAGCTGTAAGAAACATGCAAAGTATGAATTTGGTGGAAATGACCCCTGCCTCTTAACAGCGTAGGAGGGTCGGTTTCCTGTAGGCACTGAGTGAAGAGATCTGCTGGCACAGCCGACACCTTTGTGCGACCTACTGACGAGCTGAAATCGTTTACTCTAAGTTGTCTGATTTTTTAGCCAGAGGGAATTATGAGAGGAAAAAAAGCCAGCAGTGTATCAAAAGCAGCTGCACAAGTGGATGGGTGTAGCTAAGCTGGTAGGGAATGTGGCCACCTGTGGAGCATTCCTTCAGAAGCAGACTAGAGTCCATGCAGAGTGGCAGGGTTTGCAGCTGTGTGTCCAGGGGAAGGCATTGCTGTGCTTTGGGCGATGCAGTTTGGCCTGTGAGTTCCTTATGGACTGTGGCTCACTGCCTGCTGATGATATGCTACTTCTAGGGGTGTAAATAGGTGAGATTTATGTTTCTGAATCTAGCCTGTTTCTCCCTCTTCTTTGTATGTGTGGTGTCTTAAAATACATCACAGTTTTTCCTGATACTGAGTTATTATCTCCTGTCTGGGGGCAGGGAATGCTTCATATCCTTTTGCCCCTTTGCTTTTTCTGTGTGTTGGCTTGCTGAATTGAGTTTCATCTCCAAGTCTCTCATTGCTGGTAATACAAAACTCTCCTACAAATCCCCCTAGGCAGTGCTGTCATAAGACATTTTTGCATTTTTAAGACACTCCCTGCTAACTACAGAGTGGATAAAAGCATAAAGAAATTTTAATTTGATGATAAATTCTTGTGGCTGCTCATGCAACTTTGTTAGTACGTACAAACAGATTTTTTCATTTGGGGCACCATGAATGGTGTCTGACATTTCAGGGCTCTCAGGACTTCCTTGTCTCTCTGGCTTCTTTAGGGTGACATGTATTTCTGCATTTGTCTGATCTTTATTTTGCTCTTTCCTGTCTCAGTTAAGCATCTCAGTAAGACTCAATAGGAACTCTTTGTACAGTTGGTTGTGTTTGTTGTCCTTTGCTTCTTGGCGTCCTTCATACCTATTTCTAGTTATGTTTCAGTCTGATTTTACTGTTAAAAGGGCGTTGGAAGAAAATTCTTTCCAGTCCTGAGAGCAGCTTACAAGTCCATTGTTCTTTCCCAATAATAATAGGGTATATTTTGCATTTATGGGGTTTCAGAAGTTTATGAAGAAACTTTTTGGACCCTTTGTTTTGCTACCAGAATCTGTGAGCTGATTAAGAAATGTAATGCAATTTCATGCCTACAGTACCCACCCCATATAAACTTTCAGGTATAATAGGCTTCAATTAAAATACTAGCTTACTCACCTGTGTAGTCTTAGTTACTTTCACATCTACCAGTTATTATGTAGAAAACATTTTTGCTCGGGCTCCCTAGTAAGTATTTGAATGTGCAGTCCCCTCCTCTCATTGGTGATGTTAACCAGAAAGATTTGCAGACGACTTCTGTGTTCTGAACTCAGAATAACCACAGGTACTCCTAGTCCAGTGCAATATTGGGAAAATCATCCACCATGAGAGTGGAGATTTACTCATTAGCTCCATGGCAAAGATTCAGTGGAAAAAGTCTAGTAGTGAAAATTCTTCTTTCCTTTTTTCCTCTCCCTCAATCTGATGACAATAATTTGCATGTAAGAAGTCTGACTTGGAAAGGACTGTTTTGTTCTGTAAATAGATTTTTCCTAGGTAGAGCATACAGTCAAATAGAGCCCAGAAGTCATCACTATCCATCAGTTATAGAGAAATTGTATTGTTTCCTGCCCACTTTTTAATAGAAAAATGTGTGTGACTCACACTATCTGCTGTCATGTTCAGCAGCTGCAACTAAGTAGTAATGGATAGGACATTTAAGTCACATGTTCGCTTTCTTTGTCTTCAGCCTTGAGTTCAAGCTCAGTAGTGCTTCTGCTGTGAAAAGAAAAAATATAAATGCTACTTCTTTCAGAAGCTTTAGTTCAGTCTTACTATATTTTTTTTTCTTTAATGAGGGGGCATATATTCTACATATGCAATAATATTAGCTTATCAACTTACCTCAAATGGAAGGATAAGGCTTTACATATCTTTTTCTTAAATTACGTACCTAGATCCATGTTAATATTTTTTCCATGCTTCTCTATTTCCTGTATCTGGCAGCTTTATTTTCCTGGTGTTTGTACTAGCGTGTAGCATAATCAAGCCTGTTAATCTTCCACTTGTAACACTGTAGTCCTAAAACAATTGCAGTTCAGTTTACTGTAGAAAACACAATTATATTGGCTGTTGTGCTATTTTACCAATACATGTTCTTCACTAGTTGCTGTATTTTCATCAAGGTTCGTGGCTATAAGTAATTATTTTGCCTTTTCCTTTTTTTTTCCTTTTTAACTAATTTAAGCTTTTTGTTGTTGCAACTGCCTAATGGTAGCAGACTTCATTACAGAAGTTCTGGTTCTAAAGGATAACCAGCTCTTTCAGTCACTTCTTTGAGACCTGATTTTAAATTAAATTATGCTAACCAAACCCTTATCTCACTGGTATAAAAACGGACTGCTGTCTTTGATGCAAGTTTCTAAAGGAGTTTGAGACCTCACCAGATGTAAAGAGTGCAATCAGCAAAGAAGGATTATACTGTCAAGAGTGTCAGCTGAAAAGATGGTCCTCCAGAAAAAGTTTATATGGGTCTGTTTGATCTGAGGATGCTATAACAGATAATGTAGTCTTTGATTCCTCTACTCATTGATCAGTATTTAAGCATGTATTCATGCACATGCTATAAATGCATCAGTCATTTGCAATCTGAAGGAAAATATGCAAACAGAAAGATTTGTGACACTTCAAAGTCTTTGAGCACTCAATTAAAGGGAGGGCAAGGCAGAAGCCTGATTTCTTCTGAGTCTTCTTTTGATTGAAATGATAAAATGCATATACTATTTCTTCTTTTATTCACATTTCTTTCCTGCACTTATAGCTTGTCCTTTTCAAAGCTACAATATAGTTGATTTTTTTCCTTACCATCATTCTGCTCTTAAGAGGGATGTAGAAGTGACTCACTTTTCTGCCTAATGCTGTCTCTAATTGGTGACTCATCTGCTCATCCCACTATTAGTGGTCTTTTATACACTGAAGTTGATCAGTAGGTGTTCCACATAGCTTCCTATTTAGACAGGTACAGTGCTGTTCTTGAGGCACAAATGTGCCTAGCCTGTTTGGCAACAGCTTTCTGATGTTTTCCCCAGTCAGTTATTACAAAGGAAAAGGAATCACCCACTGACAGATCCTAAAGGAAAAGGAGTGCATCTTCCCAGACAGAATATTCAAAAGCTTCTGGAAGCCTTTTACGCCTGAGCAGGGACAGTGCCTCTGCCATTCAAGTCTTTGACACACGAAGCTTCTAAACACGAGAAAAGGACAATTTCTATCACTATATTAAACCTGAAAAAGCCTTTGTATATCAGGCCTGTCATCAATATGTGTTACCTCCAATCTGACTTTTGGCACATCCTTTTCAGCTCTCCTATTCAGAGCCTTTGTCATTGAGCCTAAACATGACACTGAGCATTGACTCAGCATTTAGAAATACCCATCTTCATCTGGCTCACAGCATCTCTTGCGATCTGCTCTGCTAGTTCATACAGTATCTGGATAAAAAAATGTTGGATTTAACATTATATTTAACAGTAACTGGAGGTGTTGCTTGTTTCTGTTTAGATGAGAGTCCTTACACAAAATCTGCAAACCAGGCAAAGGCACCTGATGGAGCACTGTCTGTGAGGAGACAGAGTATTCCAGGTAAGACTTGCTTTGCTTTTTGTAACACCTAACTTGTTTTTGAACAGCAAGGTAATACTAATCAAAATTCAACTAGTTATAAAAAGCAAATGTATTACAGTTGCTATCAAGCAACTTTATAAGGAAAGTTCCAAGAGAGCTGTAAGAAGTTCCCACAGTTAGGTTGCCTCAAGCTTTTGCTGTGAAGAATATCCCCATATCTCTGTCTTTCGCAGCCGATTTGAGACACTGAGCATAATCACCTTTTCATCAGAGGCTCATATATTTTCAGACCCTCTGAAATCTGTTCTTTGCTATCTGGTTTCGATACTAGAGGGAGATTAGCTCATATTTTCCACTACTCATCAGCCAGGCTCAGAAATCTAACAGAGAAACACTCTGCCAGAGTTCTTGTCTTCATGTGATTTTCTGCCACATGCAGAAATGCTTGTCCATCCTTGTCTTTTATGTCATTGCATCGCACAAAGCTGGACCATTAGATCAATGGTTAGTTAAAGTGATCTTTACACCTGTGTCTCTTCTAATGACTTCAGACAAGTCTGATATACGTACAAGTTTGACATACATATTATGCAGCAATCTAAAGGGATTTTCACCTCAAGTAGTATTTAGAGACCTTTTAATGAAAACAAATGAATGCTGACCTAGGGTGCACTCAGGTGGAATTACTGATGTTACTGTTCTCACCTCAAGCACAGTAACCTCTGACTCGAAAGGAAGATGCATTGTAATAGAAATCAGCAGATGTGAGGTCATGTCACCCACCCTCTAATGGTTAATATTGCCTGTGCTAAGTGGCTTTGTTATTGAACAAAGACACACAGCCCACAGAGAGTCTGTGGATGGAGGATGGAGCTCAGACCTTGCCACTGCTAGGCTCAGATTTCATCCCAACAGCTGTAGTGAACAGCCAAAGGACATTTTGTAGATGCTTTGTGTGCATGTTTCTATGTTTCTATGCATGAGAGAGAGCAAGCTGCCTTATTTAGTATTACTTATAATGAACATTCGTGTTCATTCTTGAAAACACCATAGGGATTTAAAAATTGTTATTTTTATGGTAGAATCATAAAGATCATAACCATTGTGAAAAGACACAAGTACAGCATCCAGTGTGGAGTTATTCTTCTAAGAAAATATTTAATTATACAAACATCAACCAGGTCTTTTTTATACAAGTCAATACAAATTGATATTCATTGTTCTTCAGAGTGAATGAAGACCTCCATATGGTGCTTTTCAGGTAATGCTGTAGCTCATAGGTCAGTAATATTTATGGCCTTGAAAGTATTCAACCTTTTGGGTTTTTTTGCTGTGATCTTAGTTGTTATCATTTATAGTGTCATTACTGTATTTATAAAACACTTAAGGTAAGGTCTGAGAACAGGCTGAAGTTTGTGGTTTCACATAACATTTTGAGGACTCCTGATAATTTTTGCTTGTGTTCTTTAAAGAGAAAGCTTGATGAAAATGTACTGGTACAATTTTTCTTCAGAGTATCTGATAAGATTAGGAATTTCAAGTGTAGAGTAATAGTTATCATGACTAATTACCATTTATTTTGATTTTTTTTACAATTTTTATGCACATTCTGGAGTTTTTGACAGCATTGCGGATAAACTTTTACTCTGTGCTTTGCATAAGTCACAGTTAATTCAGGGAGATAATACAAGTGTTTGGTGAGATGTGCTTTGCTGTATTCCAGGTGTTCTGAAAACAGCTGATCTATGCTTATGTATATTCTTCAGCTTTTAATATAGTGATGACATTTATCTGAATGCCTTGTTCCATCTCTAGACCTTAGGACCTCCAAAGAATAAATGAGATTGAGCTGGTTGGATATTTTAAAAATTATATTTAAAATTATTCATACCTTAGCAAATTCTCATTGTAACACAATGGATATTGTGGGTTTAGATACACAAAAGGCATTGCAAAACTAAGCATTATTTTGAGAATTAACTTGAACATTTAGGAGTTGACTGAAGTTTCTGAAAATAACCTATAAACGTTTACATCACTTGACACCATGTTTTGTATGTGAGGTAGCACCTTGTGAATAGCTTCTATTCTTGCTTCTGTGTGAGCATTTTATTCACATTATGGATGAGGCTGGGCAGAGGTACAGAAGCATCCCAGCTAGCCAGCTTTATTTGGCAGTAGGAGGTTCACTATTAACTAGTAGCATTAATTAGTACAAGACCAGAAGCAGAACAGCTGCTTTTGCTTGGGAGCAGGATCACCCTTCTGACATTATGTAGGTCAGCTCCAAATAGCTTTTGAGTTGGAAGGTGTGGTGCAGTGAACCCAGTAAATTCTGCTGGACCTGGGTGGGAACATGTCAGCTGGAGTTACTGTCAGTAATCCTTACATGGAGATTTTATCCTATATGGAAAGCATTCATTTCTATTCCCCCAGATGGTATGCCTGATAACACATCACATTTATGAACTGCTAGTTTTTCAAGCTTGAAGCATGGGAGTACCTTTGACAGTACAGCTGTCTATTCCACTTGATGCTCTGTCAGTCCTAAGACATGGACAGCAGATGTTCTATTCCCAAGGAATGCTCTGCCTGTTGAATTAGGCAAGGGAAAACTTCTGGCTTTTAGCTAGATAAATGATTGTATGCAGAGTTTTGCACAGGTTTGGACAGTCTGTGAAAAAAAATACTAGTGAAAATACACAGAATGTGAGGTGTAAATCTTCCAGCTTGGTAATGGGATCGTGGCATCTCCCTGTGTCTGGTGAAAGTTCCTTCTCATGACATTTGAATTCACTTTAAAGGGTTTCACTGTTCCATCCTTTTGGCAGCTATCAAAAAGGCGAGCTTTTGTTGCTGCGAGGCCTGAAACTGCTATACCAGCTGCAAACCTCTGGAGGTGGGCTTTACCCTTCCATGTGAAACTGTATTGAAAGAGCAGTATTGATGAGCACTGACTGAGTGCACAGAGAAGTAATGTAATTCTGTAGAGGTTACATGGAGCTCAGGCTTGGTTTATTTTACAGGAAAAAATGTTGAAATAATCATTTTATAATTAAAGTCAAATGAGCACATACTGTGAGATCAGTGCACTGAGTTTAATTTCTTTCATCCCCAGAAGGAAGGAATGGATTAAGCATCTCCCTGGAGCAGAACCTGCTTATTTGGGATGCAGAATGCATAATTCATGTGATGAGACTACATGTCATATTTACCATGTCTTCACATGGTGCAAAATCAAAAAGCAACAGATCCTTTCAAAGGGATTTACAGAATTGCTGAAATAATAGTTAATTAAAATTATATGCATTAATGTAATGCAGTTTGAAACATGGACGTTATTTTGCATATGTGTAGGTGTTTAGGTACAGTTATATATACATGATTGTTTGAAACGTTACGTAGCTTCACAGTCAGAATTTCTTAACTTAAAAGTAAGACTTGAGGTAATGCTAGCATGAGAAGCAGCTTGCAGTCAGAAACAAACAGATTTTCCCCTCTAAATTGTTAAATTTAGACTGTCAAGCAGAATATAATGAACCCTTATTGCTACCGTGTCCTTAAGGAAGCCAAGGAGCGAGTATGTTGTGCTCAGGTTCCAAGCTCCACTGGAGAAACTGTCAGGACTAGTGTTAAGGCACATCAATGAAAACAATGTGTTTCAGAAGTCGTGGGTTAGACTGTTCCCTCACGATCATAGATGCAGTTAAAAACAACTGTAATTTAAAATTAAGGTATTTGATAGGCAGCCTCTTGAATCCCTAGGTTTAGATGGACATAGTTCCCTTGAGTTCTGGGCTGAGCTTTCCTGATTTGCCAAGGGTCCAAGCAGTGCCCAGCCAAGGGAAGTGTTGGCTCAGTAGCAGGTGAGCCAAAAGTGTCATTCCTGGGATTGCTTATTCCTGCAGGAGCTTTAAAAAGCACATCAACTATTCCTGTGGCACTGATACAATCTCAAGGGCTGATGGCACTGTTAAAGAGGCACTTTGAAGTCAAGGAGACCTTAACATTTAGTTCAAGATAAGCATGTTCCTGTGCTGTCCTGAATATGGACAGGCTGAATAGCTGTTCCCATGATTTCCAAACTAAAATCCAATGCCCTCTTATCTGTTTTAACAGCTTAGGTAGATCAGTCAACTGTAATGATGTGCAGACTGTTCATTTTATACATCTATTTCTTTGTTTTCAATTCACTTACTGAAAACTGGGAGCATGGAAGGGAACAAAGTGACCTGACACAAGAATAAAAATTATTGCTTTGTGAACTGAGAATAAGACACCATAAATTTAAGACTGATTAAAATATTTCATGGAATCTGCAAAAAAAGTTTCATTTTGCTTTTAGTCCATATTTTTATTGAGTCTTAAAACTTACCATTACTCAAAAAAAAAAAAAAGTAAAAAACACCACAGTTTTTTTGAGGTGAAATGTTTCAGCTTCTCAGTGTTTCATTTTTGTTGTTTTTTTTTTTTTTTTTTTTTTGGGAAAAGTGAATCTGTGCTCAATCTAGTTGGCATTACATTTTTAAAAAATTAGAAATCCATGCTTCTGTCTACTGACCTAGACATGTGCACTGTCTCAGACTTCTGTCTCATTGTCTGAAGTAGTCAAGGGCTCAGAAGAGCTGTAGTGTGAACTATTCACTGGGAGAGCTATTTGAATCAATTGTGAATTCTGAGATTTTGTTTGGCTTAGGACGATTGCAGTTGTGAGCTGTGTCTTTCCTAAGTAAATTCTTGTTCAAGAAACGGGCACCAAATAACAAAGAGTAGAGGAAATATTTCCTCAAAGAGAGGAGTTTTCCTGTTGTCTGGGACAGAAGAGTAACACAGCTGCCTGCCTTCTGCTCACCACACCTAGCAGAAAGCCCTTGAAGTCTGGTCCTCACCGTGTTGTCCAAGCCACTGTTGTTTCACCTGCCATGTAACCCTTGTGCTCCAGCTCTGCCTGCCTCTGGGACCCACAGGAGCCTTCCCAAGTCTCATTCCAGCCACTTTCTACTCCACAGTGATAGCTA